CCCGGCCCTTTTTTTTTTTAATGGTACTGGGGATCGAACTTGGGACCTTGCACTTTCGAGGCAGGAGGCAGAACCACTGAGCTAAATCCCCAGCGCTAGCTGATGTAATCTTGGCCTTGAGTATCACAGCATCACGGGACCACTGAGGTCTCAGCTGTGACTGGAGGCAAAAATGGAGTTATGTACCAGCATGTCCTAGCTGGCCTGTGGGCAAGAAGACTAAGCCTAATCATAATTAGTGAAATGATTTTTCCTCAAAATTATGTAGAATGGCTCCTGACATTTTATTAATTACCTACTATGTGGTAATTTTCTTAGATTTTTCTCTTTTAGTCATCAAAATTTATGAGCTAGAAACTTTATTATACCTTTTTTACATATGAAGAAACTGAAACTCAGAGGGGATAATGATGTGTTAGGCTAGTCAGATGCAGTTGTATTACTCCACAAGATAACCTCTGAGGCCTTTGTAGCCCTTTAGGTTTTACAGTCCTGTTAAGTCAACACCTATGATAGGAAGGTGGCAGTATGTGACTTTACAAATGAGATACTGGAGCCATAAAGGCGGCTAACACTCGTGTGGGCACAACTGGGAAAATTGGCACTATGATTTAGGTAATTTGTGTTTGCACAAATTGTGGAAAACCTTTTTTTTCTTGGTACCAGGGATTGAACTCAGGACCTTGTGCTTGCAAGGCAGGCATGGTGTCACTGAGCTAAATCTTCAACCCTTGGAAAACTTTTTTGAAACGATATTATCTCAAAAACTTGGCAAGTATCCTGTCTACTGAGGTACATAGAGGTGCAGAGCTGACTGGCCTGAGGAGAGCATTTGTTTCAGACAGCCTTTAGGTTTCTGCTTAAAAATGAGGAGCAGTCTAGTATGGGGACCACCTCTATTGTATAGTCACAAATTGAGATAAGCATGACTGTTGTGTTTTCAACAAGTTTAAAAGTCATCTTTTTCTCCTTGTGTGTACCCTGTAGGAGCAGCTTTCTCAAGTCCTCGATGCCATGTTTGAAAGGACAGTCAAAGTGGATGAGCATGTCTTTGACCAAGGAGATGATGGAGACAACTTTTATGTCATAGAAAGGTAGGAGATGGAATTCTGTAGTTATGTGGCCATTCTTAATAGATTCGTGGTACGAGGCAGATGATTTTCCCCATCCTGTGTTTAGCCCAAAGAGGTATAGTGCCAGGTGATCAAGCTTTCAAAGGCTTGCAAGGGACTACAGCCCCCTGTTGTCCTGAGTTTTCACTACAACCCATATTTCTACCCATCATTCACAGTACAAAATCTCCTGTATAGTTATAAAGCAAATGTAGGAGGTGCTTTATAAACATGTTATTGCCCAGTGTTCAAGTGAATAGATTTACTGAAGAATAGTCTTGGGGCCAGGGATTTAACTCAGTGGTTCTGCTGCCTGCCTTGAAAGCACAAGGACCCGAGTTCCATCCCCTCCCTGGTACAAAAAAAAAAAAAAGAGCAGTCATGATACTATACTGCAATTTGGATCTTTGAATTCCAGCCTAACTTTACACATCAATACACTGCACTGACCTCCATACCTCTAGCCTCTTCTGGCTCTGCTCCAGGTATAAGCCATATTGGAAGAAGTTAAATGGGTTTGACCTGCCCATGTTACTGTATCTTACCCTCTTGAGTTGATAGTATTCTTTTGGACAAGGTGAGCCTTCCTGCTGATGCCTCTAAGTCCTGAATGGAATGCCTGTAACAGAGTTTAAAGTAATAAGATGCCGTTTAACCCAATATCTTCCATTAATCTCTTGAAGTAATTTCAGAGAAACAAAGTTGCATAGATAGTACAAAAAGTTCTCATAACCTAGGTTAATATTCTATCACATTTGCTTTATCAAGTTATTGAGAGTAAGTTACAGGCACAACATCCCTTCATATCTGAATTACCTCTGTGCATTTTTTAAAAGTAAGAACTTTCTCTTACTTAAGCATAGAACAATTATAAAAATCAGAAATCAGCATTTATTCACTACTGTGTCTAATACACAGATGTTATTCAAAATGTCCCATTTATTTCTTTGATATTTGAAGTTCTTTTAATCTTGATCAGGTAGCTGTGCTAGATTCAGTTGGTTCCCTTTGTGTCAAGCCTGTGTTTGTTGAGGTTTTTAAACAGAAAACACTCTTACTCCTTGAGTAACCATTAGGTCCTTGATACCTGTGACTATTAACATTAAAGGAAATGCTTTATTTAAAGAATAAGAATGTTATAAATAATATCTCCTCAAAGGAAAGATATTTTATGTTATGCTAATCCTTTGTACACAGAAATTCTGTAAATACTGATAATAATTTTTTAAGTTACATCTCCACCTCCAGAAGCCACTACAAATGTTCTGTATACTTACTTTGCCACCAAAACGGAGGTCCCAGCAGGCACTTGGCACCTGCACTTGTCAACAACACAGAGGTTGAAATGCCTGTCTATGAAGGGATTAGTTTGTTAACACGTTTAGATGAGGAAGTGAAAGACTATCATTCATGTAAAAGCAAAACAAAACAAAACAGTTCCTGGCCTCAGAAAACTCATTGTCTAGTCAGGGAAGCAGACCCTTAAATAGGTAACTAATTACATAATATGGTGGCAACTGTGGTGATAAGAATACATCTTGTTGTTTAGAGGAGTAGGAGAGGTGCTCTCTGCAGTGCTGCTGCCAGAAATGGTGTGCACCTTTCCCAAAGTCAAATCACCAGTGTCTCCTGGAGAGGACAGGACCTAGCTTCTGCCTTGTCTACAGCACGGCCTTCTGCCACGGTCAGCTTCCCTGTTGAGTGGTGAGCTCCTTTGAGATTCGTTGCCACATAAGTGGGAGTTGAGTTTTCTCTGCTTTTTATTTAATAGATGATAATTTGGGACTTTTTAAGTGATATCTCCTTACAGACAATTTTTGCAAAAAGAAAACTAAAAATGGCCTGATAATTTATCCATAATCTCATCACTAGACTGTATTCCTCCATTGGTTTCTCCATGTTTTGAGATAGACCCCTCAACCAAAGTTTGGCTCAGATGTCAAGACTGATGACACTATGTATACACTATAAGTATGAGAGGATTTATTACTCATTTCATGAGGCTTTTGGAAGAGCAGGGCAGGTTCACAAATAGGTCCAAAAGTGAGTTGAAACAGCAGGGAGAGGTGACTTGCCTAGGATCTTATGGTGTCTAGAAGGGAGGACAGAATAAGAGTATTCTGGCACATGGGTTGGCTCTGTGTTATTTGAATTCACCATGAGGGAGCATTGAAGTATCCTTATGAGCTTTCCCAAATGTGGGGCAGAAGAAAAAAGGGTGAGTGTTAGAGCTCTAAAGCTGTCAGAATCCAAGTATCAAAATTTACAAATATATACTTTACACTGGGTCATATATTACATGATCCAATCTTTAAAGTCTATTTAAGCAGTTTCCCATGGAAAGTAATATTAGTCTATGTCATATTTTTATTCTATATGTATGTATGTATGTACAAAGGTGCATATATATTTATTTTTCGCAATAGTAGGGATTGAATCCATGGAGCACTGAATCACATCCTCAGCCTTATTGAAACAAGGTCTTGCTAAATTGCTCAGGTTTTCCTTAAACCTGTGATACTCCTGCCTTGGCCTCACAAGTGGCTGGAAGTTTTGTTTGTTCATTTGTTTTTTTGGAGATAGGACCAGGCTATGTAGTCTCACTATGTAGTCCCGGCTAGCCTTGAACTTGTGTGGACCCTGCTGGCCTCTCTTGCCTTTAGCCTCCTGAGAGCTGGGATCTGAGGTTTGTGCCACCACACCCAGCACACCTTGCTTTTATGTCTTTTTTTTTCTTTTGGATGTACCTGGGATGGAACTCAGGACCTTGGGCTTGGTGAGACAGGTGCGGCACCACTGAGCTAAATCCCCCACCCTGTGTCATCCTTTTTAATGTGTAATACAGATATAAACATATTTAACCCATTCCCCTCTTGTTAACAGAGTAAATTATTTGTAATTTTTGCTGTTATAAATAGTACTTGGCAAGCTTCCCTGAGATTCTTTTTCAGTATTACTGATTCTCTCTTTTGGCTTAATTAGAAATATAATTGTTGTGTCAAAGATCTCTTTGTCTCTTTAAGGCATTGGCTATAGGTTTTTCATTATCTTACAGACACTTTGGAAAGTTGATGTTTGCCTCAGTGTTGTGTTGAGAGTGCCTGTTTCTCCAAATGCTTGTCAGGTCTGAATATTTTTCCATAGCAGTCTTTATAATCAGTAGGTAGATGATTACATATCATTTACTTACTTTATTTTGTTATATCCTGATTTTCTGCAAACTATGAAAGAAAACCTATACAGGCAATTTAGTACCTGCAGCAGAGCACTTGATAAGATTCAGTACCATTTTATAATAAAAATGCTCAACAAACTAAGAATAGAAGGCACTTTTTCCAACCTAACTGAAGACATTTATGAAAAATCCAAAGTGAACATCCTACTTAATAGTGAAAGATAAAATGGTTTTCCCTTGAGAATAATAAAGGATGTGGTGACCATTTCCAGTCAGTCCTAGTGAATACAATATGGCAAAAACGAAGGAAGGGCATATAGATTGGAAAGAAAGAAGTAAAATTCTTCAGGTAGCATGATCCTCCCTGTAGAAAATACCAAGAGTGCTAGAAAAATGTTATTAGAACTTAGAGTTTGGCAATATCACAGGCTTCAAAGTCAAAATATGAAAACCTGTTGCATTTGTATTGAGAGAGTTTTTTTGGCGGGGGTGGGGGGTACTGGGGATCGAACTTGGGTCCTCGTGCTTGTGAGCAGGTGCTGAAACCACTGAGCTAAATCCCCGGCCCTGTTGCATTTGTATATACTAGAAAATTCTTTTGGAAATCCTCTGATGTTTTATGTTATATGCACTTGCCAGTTCTTAAATTTATTATCAGAAGTAATTAAATTGTTTCTAGTCATTCTTTCCTGGGGAACCTATGACATTTTAATAACAAAAGATAATCAAATGCATTCTGTTGGTCAGTATAACAACCCTGGCAGTTTTGGAGAACTAGCTCTGATGTACAATACCCCGAGGTCTGCTACCATTGTCACCACCTCTGAAGGTTCCCTGTGGGGATTGGTGAGTGAGAAAAATGGTTCCCCTTATATGGTTTTCTTCTGGGCCTGGGTCCCTGGGCTGTTGGTTCCAGCTATCTTTAAAGCTAGTTATCTGAAAGACATTGTGAAAGTTCTCATGTAAATGTGTTTTTCCATTCTTTAAAGTGGTTTATCAATGCTGGGGGGGGGTGCGGGGGTGCACACTTGTAATCCCAGCACTCAGGAGGCTGAGATAGGAGGATCACTGCGTTCAAGGCCAGCCTGGGCTACATAGTGAGACCCTGTCTCAAAAAAAAAAGTGATTTATCAGTGAACCATTTGCTGTACATTGTAGAAGCATGACTGGGTCTTATGACCTGATAACAGTAAAAACTCTTACTACCTTTTTGTTTTCATCAGGCAAGAGAGAGAAAGAGAGAGATGATAAATCTCCATGTGAGAAGCAGCCTAGGAGCTGGGTATAGTACTGCATGCCTATAATCCCAGGACTTGGGGGGCTGAGGCTAGAGGATTATAAATTTGACTCCTGCCTGGGCTACTTAGGGAAACCCTCTCTCAAAACCAACAAAAACCACTTTTTAGCCAGTTGTAGTGGTGTACAGCTATCATCAAGGCACTCTGGGAGGCTGAGACAGGAGGATCAAAAGTTTAAACCTATCCTGGCAATTTAGCAACTTCTTGAGAACCTATCTTAAAGTTTGTATTTATTTATTCATTCACTCATTCACTCACTCACTTATTCATTTGAGACAGGGTTTTGCTATGTAGCCCGGGCTGGCTTTGCACTCACAGTAATCTGCCTCAGCCTCCCGAGTTATGGAATCAGGTGTTCTCTGTTATACTTGGCAAGTGTTAAAAAAGGGCTAGAGATGTAGCCTAATGAGAAGGACCTTGGTTCAATCCCCAATACTGAAAAAAGAGAAAGAGAAAGGGGGGGAGGGAGAAAAAGAAAGAGAGAAGGAAATAGAACAGTGAACATAACTACAAAAATATATATTCTTCTCAAGCCCATGGAATGTTCACCAAAATAGACCATATTCTGAGATATAAAATAAATTTAAATCTAAAAGAATTGAAATAAAAGTATGTTCTGTAACTACAATGGAATGAAACTGGAAATCAGAAACAGATAACAAAAATCTCCAAACACTTGGAATTTAAGTAATAAATTCTCAAGTAATCTGAGTCAGGCAGTCTCAGTGGAAAGTCTCAATGGAAGAATTTTAAAATACAGTAGAGTAGCTGGGCATGGTGGTGCATGCCTTAATCCCAGCACTTGGGAGACTGAGACAGGAGGATAACTCTGAGTTTGAGGCAAGTCTGGGCTATGTAGTGAGTTCAAAGCCAGCCTGAATTACTGGCAAGACCTTGTCTCAAAAAACAAAAACAAATAAACCCACAATGAACGGCAAAATCACCCACCTTGTACTTGGGGCATGAGGTGTGGGCCTAAGAGAGTGACTCCTTCAAAGCCTGGTATGGGTGGGTGGATAGTAGCATCAGTTCTCCGTGGCTGTGGTGCTGCTTACACCTTTCTTTCTGAGACTTCCTTCCTAACACTCCTGCTCTGTCCTCCCACTTCCTAGTCTTGTCCTTTGCAGTCTTTTTCCTTCTCCCTGCTTTCTTCGTTAAGATCAGTGACCCATGGAAATACCTCTGGGTCTCTGCCTTCTCTTGCTTCATGCACTTGCTTTGCAAGCTCAAACTCTCCCCAACATCAGAAATGGAGCTGCTGGAGGAGTGGCTTCTCTGATGCCACTCTTGTGTTTTGCAAAGCCTTGTGAATGCCAGCCAAGGCTGGAGCAGGGAAAACATGGCAGTCTCACTGAGTTTCTCAAGCCGAGTCCTGCATTCCTGCTGCTCTGACAGCAGCTGCCACCATCTTCATTCTGTGGTTCTCTTTTGTCTTGGTTTGAGGGAAGGTCAGTACAGGCATTTCTGGGTAGTTCCTGTGGTCACAGAATAGCACTCTTTTTCCCATGGGAACCTCAGGGCTGTTTAATTTCCCTCTGAGCACTTGGTGCCCGTGGGAGTTTCCTCTTCACTGGTCTGTTGGAAACTCCTCCAAGGTTGATACTTTGTGCTTTTTCACACCCTCCACAGCCACAGCAGCTGCCCTTGCACAGTGTGAAGAGAGTCCTGGGAAGTGAGAAGGCTGCATAATAGGGCTTGGAACCCAAAGACACAAGTCCCTCCCTCCCTTCCTTTAGGTTTTTTTGAGACAGGGTCTCACTGGCCTTGAACTTATTCTGTAGCCCAGCCTGGCCTCACACTTGCAGTGATCCTCCTGCCTCAGCCTCCAGAGTACTGGGATTACAGGCATGCACTATCACACCTGGCACAAGTCACTTTAAAAGCCACTTGTTTTCTTTTCAGCTATAAAGTTTGCTATTGTAATTGAAATGATCTTTATAACTATATATGTTTCTCTTTTTTTTGGTGGTGGTGGTGGCACTAGGAATTGAACCCAGAGCCTCCTTCTCACTGAGCTACATCCCCAGCCCTTTTTGTTGTCTCACTAAATTGCCCAGGCTGGCCTCAAACTTGTGATTCTCCTGCCTCACCTCCCAAATTCTACCATTTTCTTAGTTTTCCTCTTTCCACAGTAAAGTGGATCCTTGACTTAATGAACTCAATTCTTTTGTGAGGGCTGTTTATAACTCAAGTTGGTCAGGCTCCTCTACACAGCCTTCAAAGTCTCTCTCCTGTATAATTTTAGGGCACACTTTCTTCCAGACAGATCTCAGTGTCTTAGAGAGACATTGGCCCAGGATTTCTCAGTTAACCCCACACAGGAAAGGATGCTGTAATGTTCCTTCCAGAACTCTTTAAAGGTTAAATTTGTATCTGAAACCCTCTGGAATCACAAGTGGCCCGCATTTAGGTTGTTACTCAAGACTTTGGTCATAAGTTAAAGCTAAAATTCCAGTCATAATCCAAGTTGTTTGTATGTCAGGCCAGTAGTAACTTGAGGGTCCACTGTACTCTTAGCCTAGATTATCCCAGAAAACATATTGAAACTGAATTCTAAAGGTGATGGCATAATATACTGAAGTACAAAAGTAATGTTTTAAATGATGCAGTACATTAGAGCAATCAGAGATTGGAAGATTCTTTTCACACAACTGATATTGAAGAAAATGGAGCAGAATCACGCTAAATGCCAGAGAACAAACATTGTTTATACAGCAGTTCAGAAAAGGAGTGTAGGTAACTTCTCTGGTTAAGCAAATTAGACATGGCATGGGATTGAGCCAGGGAATTCTGTGGCTAATACAAGTAAGAGAAACCTATTTAGACATCTCAGCTCAACTATCTTCCGTGTGATTTCTCCACCCTGCTTCTGCGTGGTCATCAAGAATTCTAAAATTGGGCCTGGGATTTAGCTCAGTAGTTCCGCCACCTGCCCTGCAAGCACAAGGACCCAAGTTCGATCCCTACTACCAAAAAAAAAAAAAAGAAGAATTCTAAAATTTAAAAAAAAAAGAATTCTAAAATAAGGGCCCAGGATCTAGCTCAGCGGTGCCACACCTGCCTGGCAAGCGCAAGGTCCTGAATTTGATCCCTAGTACCAAAAAAAAAAAAGAATGCTAAAATAAACTAGGCGTGGTAGTACATGCCTATAAGCTCAGCCCTCAAGAGGCTGAGGCAGGAGGATCACAAGTTCAAGGCCAACCTAAACTACAGAGTGAGACCTTGTCTCAAAACACAATACAATACTTCAAAATGTATAATAGAGAATGTGAAATAGGAAGAAAAGGTCTAAAGGGGAAGGGGAACTGGGAGGGGTACCAGAAAGGAAAAAATGGAAACAAAGTCTTTGTAAATAGGGAGGGATGAAGGGGTTAAAGGGAGGGCAAAGGAATGGGGAAAAAATAAGAACCAAGATATATCATGTAAAGATACAAATTCCCAATGATGAATGTCATCATATTGTAAACCTAAAATGTACCAATAAACTCAATGAAGAAATAATTACAATACAATAAAATACATCACATCTAAACATGATTACTATTTTTGTTCTGCCAGACATGAAAGAAAAGTACTGTTATCTTATTATACAAACCACTGTTCACCTATTTAGGAGTCTTAGACTAACAGTTAACTTTCTCCTAGATTTGTGTCCCTCCCATACATACCTGAGAAGTGCTTGGCAGTAACTTTGGTTAACTATCTCCTCATGAGATCCCATTACTCGCTGGAGTCATGGTGCTTTTCACATGCCTACCTGCCATTTTGAGTATCCTCCCTTGCTCTTCATTAGTTTAAACTCTGCCCTCCTTCAGGTCTCAAACAAATTTTGCTATAAAACTATTTTTGGGGTTTTTTTGGTACCGGGGATCAAACTCTGGACCATACCCTTGCATGGTAGGTGCCAGAACCACTGAGCTAAATCCCCGGCCCTGTAAAACTATTTTTGATTTCTCCTGTGTACTGTGGTCTCTCTGTCCACTTGGAAATTCTTGTGGCATTTGTATTCTGTGCTTTGATCTAGCACATTTCTTATGCTGTTTGAACTATAAACTTTTAAATTCCTGTATATTTTGTATTATCTCCTCATTCAGATTTTAAACTCCTTGAGGGCAGGAACCATCAGATTGTTTTAGTTCCTTCTTATTTAGAAGGGTGTCTTGGATATGAGGGTGATCTGGCTGCAACATTGTCACCCCGTTGATCGCCAGGGTTGATTCAGCTGATCTGGCTGGCTAGGCCAGTGTCCCCTTCCTACCTCACCACTCCATGTGCATCCCTTCTGAAGCTGTGTGCTCAAAGGAGGCAAACCCCACCCCCATAGAGGAGGACCATTTCCAAGGTCAAGGGTATACGGGTAGCTTCGTTCCCCTGCTAGAACCTCCAAACAAGCTGGTGAGAAAGGTGTCTTTTGGCCAGGCATGGTGGCATATGCCTGTAATCCCAGCACTTGGGAGGCCAAGGCAGAAGGATCATTACAAATTCAAGGCCAGCCTGGGCTACATAGTGAGTTCAAGGCCATCCTGAACTGTGTAGCACAACCCTGTCTTAATAAAAGGGGTGTGGGGGAGATAGGGGGTGTCTTTTGACATTATTGACTATGAGCACATAAATTTTTGATGGAATTTTTTTGTTTTATGTCCTATTTATGACCAGTGTGTGGTGCCCATTGAACACTGAACAGCAAGCTACAGTGTGTGGGGGCTCTGTCTGGCTCAAGCTGCAGGCATTTTTTTTTTTTCTGGCAATGATTCTGAGATTGAAGTATCATTAAAGACACAGTTGACACAGTTATTTCTGTAGTCCTCTAATATTTACTATGGCCCCGTTAATTAAACCATAGATGTTCTCTTATACTGGGGTGTACTAGAATTTTCATATTCTTTCTTGCAGGACCAGTTGACTTTTAGAAGAATCATAGTGAAAAACAATGCAAAAAAAAGGAAGATGTTCGAATCATTTATTGAGTCTGTGCCATTCCTTAAATCATTAGAGGTAAAGTCTAAATAGAAGTTTGTCTATGAGGATTAGAAGAAACTGTTAAACTATCATTAGATTTTTCAAAACCTATTATTCTAACCCATCTCTGTGTTATATAGATACTATGGCTTTCAGTACAGATCTTCCTGATAATTTGTGAGTGTGTCCATTGTTTTAGGTGTCAGAATGAATGAAGATTGCGGATGTGATAGGAGAAAAGAACTATAAGGAGGTGAGTAGAACCTTGCAAGCTCCTTTCCTACAAGTCACTATCTGTGCATCACTTGTCTCCTAAGATTTCTGTGTCCCTCTGCTGTTGAAAGCTCATGTTGCAGGGTACCAGGTCACTTCTTGCAGGGTCCTCTGAAGCCCATTGATGTCTGTCTCACAGTTATATTCAGGTTCTTGCTTTCACTCACCTTCCGTGATTTTCCTGTATTTGTTATTTTGACCTTGAGTATACTTTATCACTGTTAAAATCTGAAGAAGATCAAAGCGTTGTGCCTGCTACCTGCTCTACATTTGACACATAAGTATCCTCTTGGCTAACTCTGGTTTGGACCAGAGTCCTCAGAGTTCAGTGATTAGATATCTTTATCTGTAAGCTATCTTTAGTACTTTCTTGCATCTTTTTCTCATGTTATTTTTGGATACCAAGAATCCACACAGTAGACCAACCCATTGTAATTATAGTGCTATATAATAGTTTTGCCTATTGTATTTGCATTTTGCGTGTACTGAGTGTTTTCCAAATATAAGCTTCTCTGCTTGTAGTCTGACAAGGGCACTAGTAAGGTATCTCCTTGTCCTGGATTGGGTGATGTGACTATCTTTCAGCACAGAGCTGGGACCAGGATTCCTCAGTCCTGTAGGTGGAACAATAGGTCTCATCCTTGGATCCTTCACACTGATCTTAGGAATTAGGAAGTATGTTAGGAGATCTAAGAAGCCACAGTGCTTTCTGTGGTGTCTGTTTGTGGAGATGAATTGATAGGAATAAGATGATGCTCATCTTACTATTACTCCACTCTTGGCAGTGTCTTAGACCAAGAGTTCTCAAAGTGAGAACCCAAGACTAGCAGCATCGCCTTTATCTAGGAATGGTAGAAATTGTTACAAATATGAATTCTTGGACCCTATTCCATACCTACTAAATCAACAACTGTGTTTTATGAGGTTCGTTTGTTTTAATTGGAAGAGTTTTTGAATCATCTCCACAACCATGGTACACTGCATTTCCATCACCCCAAACAGTGCTTGCATTTGTATTTGGAGTCAGTATTCTTTCTTACAACCTCATTCCTAGCAAGCAGTGATCTGGTGTCACAGTAGAAATTCCTTTTCCAGAATTTCATATAAATAGAGTCATAATTCGTAACAATGTGTAAGTTTTTGTGTCTGGACTCTTAGCATAATATTGTTGAAACTTATCCATGCTGTATGTATCAATAGATGATTCCTTTTTATGGGTGTATAATTTGTCATTATATGGGTATACCATGATTTGTCTTTACCATTTACCAGTTAAGGAACATTTGGCTTCTTCCCACTTTGGGACAATTATGAATAAAGCTGCAATGAGTATCTGCATATAAGACTTTGGGTAGAAAGAGAAAGAGAGCTTTTTTTTTTTTCAGACAGGATCTTGCTCTGTAATTCAGGCTGGCCTTGGACTCATTATGTAACCTAAACTGGCCTTGAACTTGCAGCAATCCTCCTACTTCAGCCTCTCAAGTACTAGGATTACAGGCATGCGTCACTATCCCCGACTTATATTTTTATTATCTTGGGTGAATACTTTGGAATGCAATTGCTGGGTCTTGTAGTAAATGTGTATTAACTCTAACCAGAAGCCAAACTGTTTAAAAAATGGCTGTAGCTCTTTTCATTCTCACCAGCGATATATGGAAATTCCAGTTGCTCTTATCCTCACCAATACTTGGTATTAATAGTTTTTTAATTTTAGCTATTCTAGTCAATATGAAGTGGTATCTCTTTGTAAAAGTTCTTTACATACTATGAGTATATATCTTTTATTGGACAAACCAATTTATATGTAATTCTTCCAGTCTGTGGTTGTTTTGGGCTCATCTTTTCATTTTTCTGAGTGGTAGCTTTTGCTTTGTTTTGGTTTGGTTTTTGATTTTTCTTGAGACTCAGTTTTGCTATGTAGTTCAGGCTGGCCTTGAATGCACAATGTAGCTGAGGCTGGCCTACAACTCATGGCGATCCTCCTGCCTCAGACTCCCGAGTGCTGAGATTACAGGTGTGCAACCCCACACCTAGCTCAGTGGTAGCTTTTGAAGGGTAAAGTTTTTAATTTTGACAGGCCTAGTTTATCATCTTTTTCTCTTTATTTCCTAGTTTGTACTTTTATGCCCTACTTTAAACAATTGTCACAAAATCATTAAGATTTTCTCTATAGGATGCAAAATCATATTAATAAATCAGTAGCTTTTTAAATACCAATAATGAACTAAGTGGGACAGAAATCAAAAAAATAATTCCATCCACAACAGCTTAAAGAAACACATAAGAATCAACCTAACCAAGGAGTTGAAAGACCTCTGAAATGAAAATTACGGAACACAGAAGAAAGACAGTGAATAAGACACTAGAAGATGGAAAGACCTCCTATGTTCGTGGGTTAGCAAAATTAATATTGTCAACATGGCCATATTACCAAAAGCTATCTACAGATTTGTTGCAATCCCCATCAGAATTCTCATGATATTCTTCATAGAACTGGAAAAAACCCCCTAAATTTCATATGGAAACACAGAAGACCCAGAATAGCCAAAGCTATCCTAAGCAAAAAGAGCAAGGTTGGAGGCATCAAATTTTCAAATTGTATTACAAAGCACACTAACAAAAACAGCATGATACTGGCACCAAAATAGACCAATGAATAGAATCCAGGACACAGAAACAAACCCATGCAACTAGACCCCTCTGATTCTTAACAAAGGAGCCAAAATCATATGTTGGAGAAAAGATGGCCTCTTTAGCAAATGGTGCTGGGAACACTAGATACCGCATGTAGAAGATTGAAACTAGATCCCTGTCTTTCACCCTGTACAAAAATCAATCCAAAATGAAGCTGGATGTGGTGGTACACACTGAGGGAGGAGAATTGCCACAAGTTTGAGGCTAGCCTGGGCTACACAGTGAATCCCAGGCCAGCAACATAGCAACAGAGTCCAGTTTATAACACACAATTTTCCCTCTTGGGCAGTAATGTGTCCTGGGATTAGATTAACTCAGTATCATCTGCCTCAGCTGTGTGTAATGGTCAATGACATGAAGTCATGTGAGTACTCAGAAATACTATCCCCTGTAGACACCAGACCCACCTGGAGTGGGCACATGTGATTAGTACTGGATTACCGAGTATCAATGGTCATTGCTGCAAGTTAGTCATGAGGGATCAGGACGGAAGTGTGCCTGAAACCCTCTCCTCCTGTATCTGCTTTCCTCTCACTCTCAGTTCTGTCCTGTTGATTTTTATTTTTAATAAAGGTCTCTCTTGAGAGAGACCTGGAACCCCGGAAAGCACCGACTTTTAAAGAAAGAAAAGGAGACAGCCTGGGGGACAAACAGCAGTTTAATTCCTCTGGATTCGACAATCACAAAGGAAAGAAGCAAGGCTTTTATACATGTAGGAAAGTAGCTTAGTTATTCTGGCTATTGTCTTTCTGGTTTTCACCTCTGATGATAACCAGTGACTTTAAGTGACTCATAAAAGCTACAGGAGAATTCACATGTTCCCTGTTTCCATTCACCAATCCCGTACATCAAAGAGCACATTGCAGCCCTCTTCTTATCAGATAGTATCAAGAGAACAGGACAACTTTAGGCAAAAATCAAGCCCAGTGGCACATCACAGATGTGCATAGTGAGTCGTATCTCTCTTACCACCCGTAGAGTCATTGGGTTACGGTCCTCTGATCCTGGAAAATGATAAATAAGAAAACTAGGAAAACCTGTTTTTCTCCTGTGAGACTTTTACAAGGTCTCAAAGTTTTCTGTCATTCTTTTTTTTTTTTTTTGTATTAAATTCTTTTATTGGTACATTGTAGGTATACAACACAATTACATTTCTCATTGGGAATTGTACCTTTATATACTGCATCTTGGTTCTTATTTTTTCCCCATTCCTAGCCCTCTCTTCACCCCCTCCACCCTTCCCTATTTACAAAGCCTTTATTTCCATTTTTTCCATTTCTCATCATTTTTTCCTTTCCCTTCTTTCCTTTCCCCTGCCCCTCCCACTACCCCTACCCCTTTGGACCTTTTCTTCCTATTTTACATTATCGATTATTCATTCTAATCATTGGTACATTTTAGGTATACAATATAATGACATTCATCATTGGAAATTTACACCTTTACATAGTCTCTCTTGGTTCTTATTTTTCACCCTTGCCCAGCCCTCCCTTCAACCCTTCCAGTCCTCCCTGTTTACAAAGATTTTGTTCCTATTTTTCCATTTTCTCATATTAATCCCATTCCATTCTTGTGGAATTTCTGGCAGACTTGTGGAATTTCCCAGAAACGACTTAATTCTCTTAGTTAACAAACTTCTTGTGATCTATTCTTACAACTAGATAGCTGAATTCTACCATTTCCCACACTGTCCAGCTTTTGCTCAAATCTCACCCACTCAGTAAAACTCCATTGTGTACATTAGGCAGCCCCTCCTCCAGCACTCAAAAGTGCTATCCCAGTACTCTCTTTCCTTGTAGTGCTTACTACCCTCCAGCACACAGTGTGGTTCACTGGTTTGTTGTGGTAGTTATTGATAGTGGATTCATCCTATCACACTGTGCCTCCCATAGGGGCAGGGGTATTTGTTGGTCTAGTGACGTATCTCACATGCCTAGAACAGAGCTTGGCACATAGTAGGTCCTTAATGAATTAAGTTGTTGAATGAATCAGCCAAGTGGTTTAAAGTCAAAACAAGCCAAAGGAAAGCCTGAAGCTTTTAAAAAATTACATCAAAGCTCCTCTCTCACCAAGTCAGGGAGTTCCAGATCTACACTATCCTCTTAAGGGCTGTTTGATGATCAAGATTATGCCTTACTGGAGACCTCTGCACTAGGTTCCAGTCTCCTGCCCAGTGTATGACACAGGGTTGAAGAAAGACTCAAAGACAGAATTAAGGAAAAAAAGCGGGGACCCAAGATAGCCAGTGCTGAGCAACCAGCAAAGGCCCTGGTCAGCCTAAGCTACTGATTTTATTGGTAATCAGATGGGGGTAAAGGAGAACTAGGTGTGAGGATGTGCAGTTGTGCAGTTGCTATGGATACTAATGCAGGCAAGATTTGTAAAGGAAAAGAAAGACTAAGCATTCTCAAATTAGGAACAGAATAGACAAAAGGTAGGGTTGTAGTTAGAACCTTGTCCTTCTAGTTAAGAAAATTTTAGTTGTGGGAATGGAATTTGGGTGCAAGTTACTTTGACCTCAGCTACTATATTATCTCATATTGAGCCCCACAGCTTCACAGGCATTTCTCTTGATCTCTGTTGTGGCCATTAACAGGGAGGTCATGCTAACCTGTGCACTACTGTGGTGCTTATGAGGTGCTTCTATGAGTCACGTAAGCTTCAGTTGGACTTGCTTCTTAAAATGAGCCAGTTGTGAGCTTAACTCTTCACAGTCTGCACTGCTTACAGCTTGCTTTGGGCATAATACATAAGGAGTCCCCCACAATGCCTAAACCCCCTCTTCCAGGAGCCACCTTGACACTATGTGCGGCAGTCTTGGTTACCCATCCCTGTCATAGGTTTCAACAACAAGTCACCGTACGCAGTTAGAACAGCACTGCGTTGTGCAGTGGGCAGCCAGAGCATATTCATGGAGATGAATGTGAGTATTTAAAAGATGAGAGAGCCAAGTGTGGTGATGCACATCTGTAATCTCAGCACTTAGGAGGCTGCAGCAGGAGTATCATAGTGAGTTCAAGACTAGCCTGGGCAACATAGCAAGAACCTGCTCAAAAAACAAACAAAAAAAGATGGGTGATGTGTCACACATGGTTGAGTTAATGTCTCCAGTGATCAGGATCCTCTTGTTCTGAATTTTTTAGCCATTGATTCATTTGTAGGGCTGAAAATAAGAACAAATCAGCGCTTAAGGGGTGAGAAAACAATCTGTATGTTTCTCTCCATGCTATGTGTAGCTCTGACCTCCTCCTGTTTTTCAGGGTGATAAGGCTGACAGCTTTTACATCATCGAGTCTGGTGAAGTGCACATCATGATTAGGAGCAAGGTGAGTGTGTGTGGATGGTGTGAGGACACAGGGGCCAGGTGCATGCACAGGAAGTACTGCAACACACAGTGTGAGATGTGTTCAGGGTGTCAAGCAATCATTGTAGTGATGTGGGATTAGTTTCCCTCTGGTTCTCCTGCCTTCACCTCTACCTTATAATTAATGATATGAGGAATATTGGCACACAGACAAATAAGAAAAAGATAACTATAATAGAAAACGGGGACATTATATAATGAAAAATGCATATGGAATGAATACAAAGAAAGTTCCCTTTTTAGAGTCCTGTCAGGGGAGATCTCCAGAACATTATGTATTATTATGGCCATTTGAAACACAGGCATGGTGGTGCACACCTGTAATGCCAGCACTGGGGAGACTGAGACAAGAGGATCATCAGGAATTTGAGGTCAGCCTGGACTACATAATGAGTCAAGTCCAGCCTGAACCACACAGTGATACTTTGTCTTAAAAACAAAATAAAAACAAATAAAATAAAAGATACAGTCACTTGATAGATGAGGAGACCTAGAAAACTAGTGATCTATAAATGGAGGGAGTGAGGCTTACCAGCAAGTCCATCATCATTAGACTTCCTTGGTTTTTTTTCCCTCTTTCCTTTTCTTTCTCTTTACTTTTTTGAAAAAAATTTGGAGAACATAGATTGTGTTAAAATAATGAGAGGTAGCACATGCCTGTAAACTCAGAACTTGGGAGGCTGAGGCAGGTGGATCGCTGCAAATTCAAGGCCTGCATGGGCTACATAGTGAGTTCAAAGCCAACCTGAACTGCATAGTGAGACCCTGTCTCAAAAAACAAACAAAAATAGTGAGTTATGTATGAAACCTATTGGTAAAATATATTTAGTACAGGTTAATAAGTATGGAAAAAAGAGAAAAAATATGACTATTAGAGAGAGTGAAAAAATATGGTTATTATTTGTGTGTGTGTTACTGGGGATTGCACCCAGGCCCATTGCACTAAGCTACATTCCCAGCCCTTTTTTTTTTTGTACCGGGGATTGAGCTTGGGACCTTGCACTTGCAAGGTAGGCGGCAGCACCACTGAGCTAAATCCCCGGCACCCCCAGACCTTTTTATTTTGAGACAGGGTTTTACTAAGTTTCCCAGGGAGGGCTGCAACTGGCAATCCTCCTGCCTCGCCTCCAGAGTGCTGGGACTGCAGTCATTTACCACTACATTGGGCTAAGATACTTGTTTCTTCATTAAAAATAGATCTATTGTTTCACATGAAATAGTAGTTTGAAAGTTTCGTGTTCTTAAAGTTTTTCAACAACTGACATTTATCTCTATGTTTTTTTGTTTGTTTTTTGTTTTTTGAGATGGAGCCTTGCTATGTAGTCCAGGCTGGCCTTGAACTTGTGGCAGTCCTCCTGCCTCAGTCTCCTGAGTGCTGGGATTGCAGGCATGCGTTACCTCTCTGTTTCTTAAATTTTCTTGGGCACTTCCTGTCATCAGGGCAGAATGTTATGTGGATGCCACCTGTCACAGCATGGCACCTGGGAATTGGAGGACTTGTCAAAAAGGCAGAGCTTCTGAGTATGGAAGTGCATGCATGCCTGTAACCTCAGCACTCAGGAGGCTGAGGCAGGAGGCCACCCTGGACTATATAATGAGACTCCGTCTCAAAAAGCAGAACAACAAAAAAAGCAGAGCCATCAGCTCTACCCTAGATCTGCTGAGTCAGAATCTGCATTGTCTGAAAATTTGCATTATGAGGGAGCTGATGTATGTAAGTGAGAGTGCTGTCCTAGAGAAGGGACTCAGTGGATGTGAATGTCTGCAGTCCTGGAGCTGCTGTAGAATTGCAAAGAGAACACAGCTCCCATGGGACCAATCAGCTTCAGAGCTCACAGGTCACTGTAGAAACAGGGAAAGAAGAAAAGTCAAACCATGTAAGCTAGTGAACTTATCCTTCAGAACAAGTAAACAGTTATCTCTTTGCCTATAACATAAAGTGGTTCTTAGAGATCAAGACTAATTCTTACTAATAAATTATAATTTTTTACTCAAATTACTGCTTAGCTCAGCAGATGGGTTAAAAAAATAGGAAACTCTAGATATTAAATACAATGTAGTAGATTATAAAATATTTACTGAACCATTCTTAAAAATAAGGGGTAGGGAAATTAACTCAGAATATAGATGATACTTAGAAAATTTATCTTTGTAAAGAACAGTTTAAGACAGGCAGTCTCAATCAAATCAAAGAGAAGAAATCCAAGGTTGTGGCTTATTATCTAAGAGAAGTTTATAATTTAGAAAGAATTAGAAAAAGACCTTGTCTTTCTCACTCTATAGCAGAAGTTGGCAGCTCCCAGAAAATGGTCTGCACCTTTCTTCTTGACATTTAGCCATTATTTGAAAAATACTAGGTCTCAGGTGGAGCCCCAGGGAAAGCCAACTCTTCTAATGAAACCAGACCACTGAGATGAGTGCATGGAGTTCACATGATGTGGGTAGAGTGCAGTTAGTTTCTCTGTAACTGTGTTGAGTGTGCTGAAAAGTGTTGAGTGTATGCAACTGGACATGGCCAGCTATGATCCTCGTAGCTCACATAAAGTTCTCTGCCTGGTGTAGACTAAAACAAACAAGGATGCTGGGAGCCAGGAGGTTGAGATTGCCCGCTGCCACAAGGGGCAGTACTTTGGAGAGCTTGCCCTGGTCACCAACAAACTTAGAGCTGCTTCAGTTTATGCAGCTAGAAGTGTCACCTCCTTAGGTAAGAAAAGTTCTTCATGCATTAATACTTTTTTTTAATGTGCAGTATTTTTTTCCACCAGCTCTCACTCACATTTAGGCCTGGACAGTTTGTATCACCAACCAGAGATGGGTTAATATTTTCTTTTAATGAACTTTTTCTGTGGGGGTTTCCTGGGCATTGAACCCAGAGCCTCACACATGCTAAGCACACACTCCAACACTGAGCTACTCCCAGTGCCCTAGTAGGTATTTCTGCGCACTGAATACAGCCTGTGAGTGAGACAGATACACACCCATCCAGTCATGTGAAAAGAGTAGTAATGGGGGCAAGGCTATGGGAGAACAGGGAAAACAGGTGCTGTTGGACTCTCCAAGTCTTAAACTTACTGAATTTATTATCTTGGATGGAATTTCCTTTTTTTTTTTTTTTTTAATTAAATGGAGACAATGTCATGCTAATTTGCTAAGTTACCCAGGCTGGCTTTAAATTTGGAATCATCTTGTCTTAATATCCCAGAGTTCTGGGATTACAGGCATGCACTACCACACTTGGCTTCCAAATCCAAACAAAGATGACTCCATGGATGACCCCTACATTCATGTGGAGACAGCTCTTTTCCCAAGTATCTGTGGGTGCATTTAAGAGAAGGCTAGAATGCAGAAAATGACTTGAATTGTTAGGGTAGAGAACTCATTCTCCCCCTCACCTCTTTTTAACAATGTAGTTATGGATGTTCAAGCATTTGAGAGACTTCTGGGGCTCTGCATGGATGTAATGAAGAGGAATACCTTACACTATGAAGAATAGCTAGTGAAGATGTTTGGCTCCAGCTTGGATCTACTGACCCTGGACAATAGATATTCCACATCTCAGAGCCTTCTTGGTGTAACACCAGACCTTTCTGGTCAGCCACAGAACACATACAAAAAATTGACACGAGGCTGGTCATTTGGCTCAGTGGTTTTGCCGCCTGCTGCACAAGCTCAAGGACCCGAGTTCAATTCCTGGTACCAAAAAAAAAAAAATTGACACGACAGAACTGTTCCTGCTGTTGCCACCATTGCTGCAATTGCTGTGGTTTGGGGCATTTAGAAAATTTGAAAGTCAGCACTAAAGGATGCAGAGAGGTTTGACCCATACCTCCACTTTGCTTCTGAAAGCCCATTATTAAACCACTTGTAATGATTACTCCAACCCAGTTTTCGCATCTTTGGTTTAGAATGGCATGTCTCTCCAACAGTTTAAGTGCCTGATATAAAGTTCAAAGTGTAAACATCCTTCTTTTCTCTCTTGCTGCTACTATTGCTTTTGGAAGTTACGATAAAGTCTGCAGAAACCTGTTGGATAACTGTAGAACCCTCTTCCCATCTTTTTCAAGCGAAGAAATGTAGCCTTCAGTCTCTTCATCTGTCCTTTAAGAAAGTCCACAATGTGTTCACAATTGCTGCCTTTGATTTTATAGTAGAAAATGGTACCACATGTGATGGAGGTCTGAGGTCCACTGGCATTGTTTGGCCTGCTAACAGCTTCACACATTTTGGCTGTTTGCAAATCCATGGTGATGCTTATAGAAAGGCATGGCAGGTCAGTACTCCACAGCCGACTGAGGTTAGTAGAACCCATGTTAGAGCAAAAATAATTAAATTCAGCACATTTTACCAGTAGTAGAGAGCAAGGAAAGGTTTTTCTGGGTTAGACGTTTTTTCTTTTGCTTTGGTGAATGTTTTGTTTAATCTCTGCAGTTTGCATGAATGAATGGTCATCATTTATAAGGAGCCAGGGCTGGCCATTTTTCATTTGGTTAGAGAATGGTGCCAGTAGAAGTAGCCAGAGTCTGAGGTGCCATTACTTTATCTGAGCTAAATACTTTCCTCAGCAGGTCCGGCTATTTCTTGTTCCCACTTGCTTCTACTAGCTAATGGCAGTATGCTGACAAGAAGTGCTGCACGGACAGCCCATTCCTTCTGCTCCAGTTGTTGTATAGTTTGGATGTCAAACTATCAATTTTTCTTTTTGGTATTGGGGATCAAGCTTGGGACCTTGTGCTTGCAAGGCAGGCAGTGGAACCACTGAGCTAGATCCCTGGCCCTTGAACTATCAGTTTTTGAATTCTTTACAAGCTCTGCTCTGCTCTTCTCTTTCTTTTAATAAAGTATTTCTTGGCTGGGTGTGGTGGAGGACACCTGTAGTCCCAGCACTCGGGAGGCTAAGGCAGGAAGATTTCTGTGAGCTCAAGGCCAGCCTGGGCTACGTAATGAATTCAAGGCCAGCCTGAACTACAGAGTGAGACCCTGTCTCAAAAAAAAAAAAAATTATTTCTCTGTTAGGGAGATTCCCCTTGGTATGTATTCATCTATATGGAGCTTGTCAGCTGCCTCAGACATTCATTCTAAAGTTCAACTCTGTGTTAGTTTCCAAAACTTGGCGTCACCGGGACTGGGGATAGAGCTCAGTGGTGGTGTACTCACCCAGCAATCATGAGGCCCTGGGTTCACTCCTCAGCACCACACACAAAAAAACAAAAGGCATCATTTACAGTTTCATAGAATTACTGTGAAGACCTTTTTAATTAAGATGTTGGGATATTTGGGGTTCTAATTGCTCATCCCCAAAGACAGTAATTTAACTTGTTTTTAAAACATTTTTAACCTTTTAATTTTAGCAGGTAAAATTCTAATGAATTATCCTAATTAGCTATATTTCAGAATGATTTTTTTTTCTTCAGAATGATTTAGAATCAGATGCTACAAGGGATCCATGAAGTAGGACTCTTTTTCAGACTACCCTGGGTAACCTATGTTGGAACTCTCAGAATCATGAAAGGTAACTAATGTAACTAATACTCCCAAACAAGCAGCTAACACTGGGAAAGCCCATGTGGTGATCCTACATTTTCCTAAGGTTCTTCTTTTCTATGATGTTGCTTTATTATCAAGTAAATTCAGAAAGCAGGTCTTGTACTTTACCAGATAAGAACCACACTTGTTTCTTGCAAAGATAGCAGGTGCATTGGGCTTTAAGAGTGACCCAGAAGTCCAGCCTCAGACTTTGTTAGGACTGTGAGTGCTGAGAAGATCCCCCTTGCCACTTCTTCATGCCAGCATTGGTTAGGGTGGTCTGAATCCTGTTCCAGTTACCACTAGGTATGGGCCTTCTCACAAGTCCCACTATGTCTTTCCTTTCACAAAACCCTCCTTGACACCCTGATGCATTGATGGTTACCATTTTATAGGTTAGAATTCATCATGTTCATGTCCTCCTGCTCCAACTCCAATGGACATAGGCTCATCAGTCCAGATCCTTACTGCATGTGAGTCCCCTGGGGCAGAGGATTAAGAGGGTGGGCCCGTAGCTTGAAGGAAGGAAACATTAAAGGGAGCAGTATGAATGAGGAAGAGCAAAGCTATTATCATAGTGTTCCAGTTCCCTTTGCAGCTTGGAGAATCAGAGGTGACAGACCAAGTTTGACTGAGGCCTGAGGTGTCTCCATTGTGCCAAGCAAGACCGACACTGACAGGTGAGCCTCACAGGGAGGAATGCATGTTGGAAAGGGATTCCTTTGTTGTTTCATGTTTTGTTCTAAGGGTTGGAGCTTTATGCCCTCTTTCCTATTTTTGTTGTTGATTTTGGATGGCACAGAATGTTTCTGAGAGGCTTAGGCTTGAGGTCCAAGCTGCAGTGTTTTCCTTCCTTTTGGCCCTGCTTTTCCTCATTCTCTTTTCTTGGCTGAATTTTCTGAAGGAAAGGTTTGTGCGTTCTTGTCCTCTTGGTCAATAGTCTTCATATAGAATTATAATATGTATAATTGCTATATACTCTCAGAAACCAGAAGAGAGCTTTTCTTTGAGCAGCTGAGTGAGTGAATTCAGCAGCAAAGTGGGAAGTAGTCCTCCAGCCAGGAGAGATGGTGTTCATCCCGAGTGCCCAGATTCTGGGCAGGGCACCATGGACACAGTGTGTTGTGTCGTGTCACAGAGTATAGTCTTCTCTTCCTTAGAAAAAGGAAGCATTTTGCACAGAGACAAAGGAAAAGGACCCATGAATGTCATCTTTTATCTTTTGTTTTCAATGGGCTGATGTTGGAATTTTTGTTTTTGACATGTATTTATAAAATCAATCTTGCCAAGATACAAGTTACTTTGATTTTTCACTATAATTACCTCTTGTTCCTCCTGTCTTGACTGCTGATGTTCCTCAGTGAGTCTAATGTTTATTCTATGGGAAGCAGCCTTCCCATGGTTTCCCTTTACACACCAGCAGGGCTATTTTTATACTTAAAAAAAAAATAGTAAGATAACTGTCACTAACCTCATGGGGGACTTGCAGAAAATCATTTAGCCCACCTTGATTGAAGGGTAGAGTCCTCATTGTTTTTTTAAGCTTGTAATAAATGGTACCTAATTCAGCATTATTGTGCTACCTCAAGGGTAAAAATGTTTTAAGGTTATTTTGGTCCTGAGTTCTGCATACAGTGTTTGAAATGTCTTTCAATTGGAGTTATTTTTTAAGTCATTGGGGTGAATCTTGTTTTAACCTGTTTTACACTTGTATTTTAATCTCAGAAGAATGGTTGGAAGCAATTTTTGTTTTGTGGTATTGAACATATTTATATTTAAAAGTCATTAAGAATTAAATCATTATTTGCCATAAACAAAGTTGGGATTTTTAAAAAGGAAACTCAGGGCTTGGCTTTACTCTTGGTTAATGAAGGACTGACAAATCATGTCTGACTTTCTGGTGCAGTGTGTTGTGGGTTTTTCTTCTCTTCTAGACCACTGCAGTACTCATCTGGGGGGTGCACTTTTGGTTTTTTTTGAAACAGGGTTAGGCTGGCCTTGAACTCACTATGTAGCCCAGGCTGGCCTCCAACTTGTACTCATGGAGATCGTGCCTCAGCCTCCCAAGTGCTGGCGTATGAGCCACCACACCTGGCAGATACACTGTTTAGATTGGTGTCTCCTAGTTTGGAGCTCCTGAAAAGCAGGGAGAAGTCCTGGGATATGTAGATATGCACAATTCAGGGTTCATTAGAGAAGGAGAGAGGAGAGGGGAGAGGGGGAAGAGGGGAGAGGGGAGAGGGGAGAGAGAGAAGAGCGATTTGGTTTGGATCTGAGTCCAGAGGCCGAAAAACCAAGAGAACTAATGCTGTAGTTGTTGTCTAAAGGTCAGAAGGCTTAAAATTCAGGAAGATCTGATGGTTCCATTTGAGTCTGAAGGCAGGATAAAAGCCATTGTGTCAGTTCAGAGGTAGTCAAGAAGGAAAATTCTCTTCTACTTGGGGAAGGTCAGGCTTTTTATGCTAATCCGGCTTATGCCTGATTATATGAGGCCCACCCATATTAGAGAGACCAGTCTGGTTTTTTTTTTCCCCTCTCTCTTTTTTTCCATTAAGTTTATTGGTACATTTTAGGTATGAAATACAGTTGCATTCATCATTGGGCTCTTGTACCTTTACATGAGTATCTTGGTTCTTATTTTTTTCCCCATTCCCCTGCCCTCCCTTCACCCCCTCCACCCTTCCCTATTTGCAAAGACTTTGTTTCCATTTTTTTCCTTTTCTC